CAAATGACATTTGGTACATAGTTAAAGCATTTATAATATACATAAGTCTGTTATTTCTTTTAGGTTAATAGATAGTTGCTTATTCCTTTCACACCGTCGTACTGTCAAGGTAGAAAAAGCATGTGTTTTGACATTGTCTAGTTTCAGTTCTGTCTGTAGCATTGTATCTTTGAGTAAATTACTTGGCCTCAGTTTCCTGAACTGTAAAATGAGATTGTTTCTCAAGCTTGGCAGTAAGGACTCACTAAAGTTAATGTGTGCCTGCAAAAGTGGGCAGTCATTTAAGTGTTCTTTGTCTCTACCTTGTTGCTCTGTTATTTAGCATTTGTGCTGAAGGGAGAACAGAAAAAGAGCAAAGAAGTCAAGATGTAAGAGAAGAAATTTGCTCTGTTTTTTTTTTTTATTTTTATTTTTATTTTTTTTTTTACGTTTATTTATTTTTGGGACAGAGAGAGACAGAGCATGAACGGGGGAGGGGCAGAGAGAGAGGGAGACACAGAATTGGAAACAGGCTCCAGGCTCTGAGCCATCAGCCCAGAGCCTGACGCGGGGCTCGAACTCACGGACCGCGAGATCGTGACCTGGCTGAAGTCGGACGCTTAACCGACTGCGCTACCCAGGCGCCCGCTCTGTTTTTATTTTAAACAAGTAGCCATGATGTCTCTGTCCACATTAGTAAAGACAAAGAAAAAAGTTGATTTCTCATAAAGAGTTTTTTAAAAAGTGAGATCCAGTTAGCCTAACCTTGCCTTCATGGATTTTAATTTTTAGAGAGGAGAGACTGGAGATGATTTGTACAGTCACTGAGCTGAGAGCGTGAGTGAGGCAGTTAGCCTTTTAATAAAGATGAAAATGTAGGGAACTTGCAAAGCCAGAGGTTCATATCTGGCCTCTTCTCAGTAAGGTTGCCAAGTAATCTGTGATAAGAGTAAGGAGGCCGGGGAAGAAAAGCTGTGGTGTGGGGAGCCAATTGGGATGAATTTAAAAATGAACAGCTTTGAACCGGGCTGTCTTGCTGTACCTTTGATACATTGAGTTTTATTTTTCCTGTGAATATAATTGTAATTTACTTAACCATTGAATTTAGGGGCTCCTGGATGGCTCAGTCGGTAGTGCTTGTGACTCTTGATCTCACGGTTGTGAGTTTGAGCCCCATGTTGGGTGTGGGGATTACTTAAAAATGTATGAAATCTTAAAAAAAACAAAAAAACAAAAAAAACCAAAAAACTAAATTCAAGCTCATTTGATTCTTTGGGGGGGGTGCTGTAGTTTTAGTGGAAAATCATCCTATAAAAGATATTTTTATTATTTATATGTCTATATGTCCATTTCCTCAATACCCACAAATTTTAATTCTTCTAGTAAATACTAATCATGATATGTTTTTATTCTAAAAGAGTGACCCATAGCAAACAGAAAGTTTCTTTTTAAAAATTATCCCTTTCTATAGCACTTATAGTTTACCAGAATAGTTACAAAGTCTTGGTAACTTAAGTTCAGACACTGGTTAACCATCAAGTTATAGTGTGGTGAATGCAATTATAAAAAAGAAAACAAGACATAATACTTTAACATTAGGTCAAGGAAGCAAATAAAGGAAAATTTTTCATTCTCCTTTTGTTGATCAGTTTCATTTTTTAAGAATGTGAAGCCCAAACCACTATGTTGACTTTGAATATGGTAGAAAACAACTTGTGACCCTCATTGAAAACCCTCGTTGAAATAATAGTCTTAAACCATGTTCAGGGATTTTTAAATAGAATACCCTCCTATTTGATTGTTTAAGACTGCCATGTTGATATCCTTATTATAAATCAGTTTCTCAAATCTTTAGTTTCTATCAGTCATCTGGAGGAGTTGTTAAAATAGATTTCCTGGGTCCCACCTCAAGAGTATATAATTCAGTAGGTCTGGGGTAGACCCAAGTGTTTACATTTCTAACAAGTTCCCAGATGATGCTGATATTGCTGGTCCAGTGACCATACTTTGAGAATTACTGATTTATTCAAACTCAAAATATTTTAATGGCTTTCTGACATAAACCGGTAATTGTTTCAAATCTAATTGCTATCCTATTTACTCTTTCAGTATGCACTTGAGTTCCTATGTGCCAAGCACTGAGTTTACTTCTTCATACAGGTGAAAGATAAAGAACCTCTCTGAAGGAACTCAGTCTGATAGGAGCTAACAATGGCAGTATTATTTAACTCATTCAATCCTCACAGGAGTTTTATGAATTGAGGTATATAATTCTTATTTTAGATAAAAAACCTGAGTTCTAGAAAGGTTAAATAATTTCCCAGAATTCACACACTGAGTGTGTGGAGGAGCTGGAGTTCACTATTTTGCTTTCCTGGTTATGCAGTACAAAAAGTTTGTGAAGATTGGTGAACCGTAAGAGAGATGGAGTAATTGGTTCTGCCTTAGGATATCAGAAGGCATTACAGAAGAAGTGGCACTGGAGCATCTTAAGGAACAAGTAAAAGGTAGCCAGATGAATTGGAGGCATGAGCATTTGCAGCTCGGGGAGCAGTTCTGCAAAGCCATGGAAACCTGAGAGAACATATGTTTCACAGACTGTAAATAGTTATGTAAGACATAACACAATTGGCCAGCCAGATGGAGTGTGAGAAGAAAGGAGACCATAGAAGGCAGGGGTCAAAGTCATGAAGGGTAAGAAGTTTTGTATTCAGGTTAAGAAGTTTTAAAAATAGAATTAGGTTTTTTTATTTTCTCTTACGACTTTCATCTTTGTAAACCATTGGTTCTCAAAGTATGTTCTGTCAGGTAGCAGAATCAGCATTGCCTGGAAACTTGTTAGAAATGCACATTCCTGGGCTCCACCCTACACCTTCTGAATCAGTAACTGAGGTGAAGCCCAGCAGTCTGTTTTAAGAAGTCCTCTGGATGACTGGTGTGTGCTAAAGTTTAAGAACCACTGCCATAGGTTATAGAATTCTTTAAAAACAGCCTTCAAACTAGATTGCTGTAGTGATAGTAATTGTGTCTGTGACTGATTTAATTCTGGTTTAAGTACAATGCTTAACAAAATTGGGATATTAATACCTTTTAAGGGACACATATCTTCATATCCATTTATACTTTGCAGACTTATTCCTCCATTGCTGTAAAAGAGGTCTGAGTCAGGATTAGAGTTTATTATATCAGCAAAGAATAGGATGATAATTATTCCTTAGCCTAAGGGAATGGTTTGGAAACTTACTAATATTATTTTAATCATAAAAAAAAAGTAATAAACCCTTATTAGGGGTTAGGGTTTATTTTTTGTTTTGTTTTGCTTGCTTGTTAATATGTAAAACTGGTGTTAAAGTTAGCATTGAAGGTGTTCTGTTTAAAACAGATGTGTTAAAAGGCTTGCATGTATTCACATCAAGAATTGACTAAAACTAATAGAGTTTTTCCTTGACATAGAAATAAAAAATATAGAAAGTACAATCTAGGATGGTCAGATAGACTCTAATCTAAATGCCTAGAAGTAATGCTAATGTCTTCTTTGCAAATTGTAGGCAATATTTGGTGACCATATCCAAGTGGTCTCTGAACTGAACTTTACACCGAAGCCTTATGGTTTATATAGTTGTTCTATCGTTTATAGTTACATATAGCCATACTTTGTTTTGCATAGCTCTACAAGCATTTAAAGCCTAACATGTATAATTATTTATTAACAATCTCTATATATCGTTTCTAGTTATTGGGTCTACAAAAGCCTGTTTCATCTTAGAAATAGCAGCAGCAAGAAGTGAAAGAGTATGCTATAATTAATGTGGTTAATGCTCAGATAAACAAGTTTAATGTTTTCATGTACTGATTCAGTTTCAAGGATTTAGAAGTAGGAAGTCCACTGAGGCATTGACAAGCACCCCTTCATTTTACAGATGAGGAAGGAGGTCCAGGGAAGTTAAATACTTGATTTTGCTGATGGTCACATAGGTAGTGAGTAGCAGAACCAGAATTATAACCATATCTACTTGGATTGCAATATAAAAGGCACCACTACATAAGACGGGATATTTCTGCGCCTCAGTCTGATAGAACATTGAGGGTCTACATCATCTAAAATAAAAGTGTTCAAATATATTAGCATCTAAATTTTCTTAGGGTATACTTTATGAAGAGTAATTTTGCAAAGTTTTATATCAAAATTGTTTAAAGATCTCTTTTTGTATTGTTAAAGTAGATTAAAGTGTCAGATTTGTCTTTACATGAAAATCTAATGACTGTTCTTCAAAATTTACAAAAATACCAAGAAAAAGATATAGATCTTCACTGTTCTTACTAGTTAAGAGGACAGTTACTGAATCTTCTGTGTAATTATCATACAAATGCTAAGGTTGACCTTGGGATATATTTACCAGCTAGATTACTTCAAATTATTTCCAGGAAAAACTGGTCTAAGCCACATACGTTCGTAGGTGATTTTTACCAGCCAGTAACCTACAATCAAAGTATGTAGATTTGCCAGAATGTTGAGAACGCTGTTAACCAGCCCAAAGGCCCTTTAGAAGCCAGTTCTGAAAATTTTTAAGCCAGAATTAAAATCTCTAGAAGAAAAGTCATCATCTGAATTTTAATGCAGTAAGTGACTACTGGAATTTCCACATGAAAGTCAATTAGAATATATAGTTAGTAAATGAAGTTTAAAAGATGTGGAGAGTGTAGTGCTCATTCAAAATTTATCCTTTTAAAAGTTCACTGAGTTAACTCCTGAATAGGGAGTTACTTTAAAGTAGTGTATGTATGTCATAGGGAAATTAGAAATGTTGGAACTACAAAGGATTTCTAGAAGTCCTGTACTTACTGAGATCCTTCATTTTCAAAATGAGAGCTCTGAGTACTGAAATTTTGAGAATAGACTTTTAAGCTATTTTAAGTTATTTTTGGTTTTAAGTAAAACAAATGTTTTTAATTATTTTAAGAGTTGGAAAGGATGTTACATTTTTTAGAATAATTTAATGAAATATTCTAATTTTTTCCAGTGCATCTGGGGGAGGTGGTGTAGCCATTGACAACAAAATAGAACAAGCAATGGTAAGTAAAAGTTAATAGTGCTCTCATTTTATAGGTTGTTTGTTGTAGGAGGCAGTTGGTTTTTATCAATTCTGAAAAACACCTAAATTCTTTACACCAAGATGACCAAAGTATATTTTTTATATAATGACATTTAATTGAAACTGCTAAAAAAACATTGAGAATTTTTAGCCTAGAAATACCAGTGGAGTTACTATTTCTCCCATTTGAACATCTCACATTTCATGCATTACCACTGATAAATCAGGGCCATTTTAAGGGGCATACATAATCAGAATGCATTATGTGCCTTCAAATATTCCAGCATCAAAAATAGTTTATTGACAAAAGAATATTAAAATGAAAATTTCAGCTAGAAACCTTTGTCATCCATTTATAGATGCTGTTTTACTCATCTCTAATGAATAGACCTGTTCATGTTGAATCTGTTTCTGATTTCTGCTATTACTATCAATTTTTTTATTCCCTTAAAGATATTCTGCTCATATTGTATATAAAATATTTTGATTCAAGCTTATTAAAATTATAGACTATAAATAAGAACCATTAGTCTCAAACTATTTTTCTTTAAGATTTTAGAGTTGGAAATCGTAGGCACCTTATCTCTTAAAGAAGTGCTAGAACTAGTTAAATATCACTTGAATATCCTTTGTTCTCTTGGTCTAACATCTAAGCATGTGATTTTAAACTTTTTTTTTTTTTTTTTTAATTCTAAGCTTATAATTGACAATTTAAGGAGCCTAGTATTTTTGGAAATCACTCCAAAATTTGAAAAGAAATCCTGGGCTAGCTGCCTAGTTGGAAACTGGATTTTTTCCACTCTTATCTCCCTTAGGGCCAGTCAAGATACAGTAGAAACATTAAAAGCAAGAGCAAAAGAACTAATATAAAAATGCCTCATGTTTATAAGGCACCAGGTAGGCCAGAACCAAATAGCAACACCTTTCCCTTATATTCTTTGTGACATTACTAATTTTGTTTTTCACAGGATCTGGTGAAAAGCCATTTGATGTATGCAGTAAGAGAAGAAGTGGAAGTTCTAAAGGAACAAATAAAAGAATTAGTTGAAAGAAACTCTTTACTTGAACGAGAAAATGCACTGTTAAAATCTCTTTCAAACAATGATCAATTATCCCAACTCCCAGCCCAACAGGCCAATCCTGGTAGCACTTCTCAACAACAAGCAGTGATAGCACAGCCTCCGCAGCCAACGCAACCTCCACAGCAGCCGAATGTCTCCTCAGCATAAAGCTTTCTTGCCTCATTAAGAAAAAAACTGAAAGCAATCTATCCTTGTGTGCCACTGGTATACTTTCCACTTTATACGAAAGCAAGTAGCCATGCTTCGGTTGTGTGTTTGGCCTTTTCAGTATTAGACAATCATTCTACAGGAGCTTTTCCTCTCTTTGAGATGTCATGCAGCGCTATTGATGTCCAGTTTTATGTCATCAGTACACAAGGAGAATAATAGGTGGGGTTTATTAAAGCAAGCCGAGTCTGCATTTTACCTGGTGCGCATGAGTGGGGTCTTTTCAGAGCTTTGGTGGCTCTCCCATGTTTCCTATTACCCGTGGATTTACCCTGAGCCTTCCTCGCACATTATAAATAACAGTTCATCTAAAGAGCCACTTTTCTTTCAATATCAGTAACATTTGCCTACGTAAGTTTTCATTTATTTGTGTTTTATTTATTACAGGGCTGCTATTTTCATAATGTACATGAACAATGTCACAGAACTTTTTTAATTTTTTTGAATAATTATAAGTATCAGTAAAGGATTTGAAAGACAGGATTGCATTTAATAGATAAAATGTTTAGGCAATAATTGAACAAAAGAATCCTGGCATATTTCTAACACTAATGGCAATTTACCTTCGGTATTTATTTTCAGTAGTAAAGACCCAGCTTGAATGTAAATTTTGTATAGTGTAAGTATGAAGAACATAGTGCAACTGTACAGGTAGTCACCAGTTATTGTGATATAATAAATAATTGGGCTATTTTGATGAAGAAAACTTTGTTCATTTGTTTCTACTTTCTAATAGAGAAATTGCCACGATTCCTCTGCTTTTTGACATTTCGTATGACTTTCTTTTTTCGGGTGGGAATAAAAAGCTGTGAAATTGTTCAACCTACTTTGTAACCAAAGAAGCAAAGCTGTGTAATGGAGTTTTTTTTTATAATGCACATTCTTTATGTATTTTTATTTAGTGTTTTCTCGGTCACAATTTTCTTTGCTGTCTAGCATGATCTGCATGACCTATAATCTTTGAACCACTTTCGTACCTCATGTTTTTATCCAGCACTCTTATTGTAATATGTACTAGTCTGTGAACAATGTCAAATAAAAGAACGAACAGGTAGTATGGTGGAGCTGAGCTAGTGTCCCATACACTAGTTGTAAAAAAAAAAAAGAAAAAAAAAAAATGAAGTGAGCCATCTTTTGTTCATTAAAATGGTGTTTTGAATTTCGTATGCAGAAAACGTTTTGTTACATTGCAGATTTTAATGTATTTAATAAATGCAACATGCAGATTAAGTGCAGTGTATACTGAGTATTTAAATTAAAATGTACATTTCATAAATACAGTTTCAAGAGAAAGCATCATTTTGTGTATACTAACACATTAAGTGTATGTCAGAAATTGATGTATAAATATATATTTTAACACATTTTCTGAAATTAAACTGCAGTTTTGTTGAAATATTTGGCTCTATATGTGTTCAAAATTTAATTTGATTAGATTTGTATTTTCACAGTTCAAGATGTTCCTTAAATGAAAACCTGTGTTCTTAATGATTTAATGATAGTTCTTAAATTTTCAAAGTAAAATAATTTAAAGAATGCAAGAATGGTGAGCAATATTTGTACTCAAGATTCATATTATGTCAGTGACCTTTAAGTAAGAAATCCTTGTCTACCAAAACTTTTACTTGAATTCAGAAAGGTGCCTGTAGAAAACTTAACATGTCTATAGCCAGCTAGCTAATCAGGAGTTAATGGGAACCAATAGTTAGCTCTCTGCGTTGTTAAAAGAGGATAAATAACTGTTCTTTGTCTATTTAAAATTAAAACTTCATCAGATTTAGCCACAAAGGAAATGCATAAAATTGGGGTGTATGTAGGATTACCAAATATTTTATGTTCTAGTTGTGCTGGAGGATACATTGTTGAATATAAACAAAATTTTAATGTTAATGAATAATATGGGAAAAAACTAAGGAACTAAGGACATAAGCTTGAGAAGTAATCCTGTAGGTGTGGAACAAGATTCTAAGTAGAGTCACCACCAGTGCGTTAGGAAATGAAACTTCCGTGTTGGAATGTCAATCACAAGGCTCACCAGGTGTGCTCCTCAAGTCCAAAAAAAGTGTGATATTTAAAACTGGCAGAGAAAAACTAGTATTAGAAAAGGCTGAGATTTTTGTGAAAATACAAATTTTGGTTCTTGGGATAGAAAAACACTTCATAAAATAATAGTCACAAAGGAAATGATTGATAATGTTAATTTAAAATGGTAATTAAAAGCAATTATTACTATTTTTGCATTAAAAAAAAAAAACCACCACAGTAGAAAATATGGGTAGTTCACAGAAGAAATAAATAGCAGTTTCTAAAGTTTCAGCCTCTAGTAACCTAAGAAATGCAAATTAATATTTAATGAATTTTTATTTGTCTTTTAAATAGCAGGACCTAATGTAGAAAGGCAAACTTTCCTGTGTACTTCTAGAAAGTAATTTGACAATATGTATCAAGAGCCTTAAATATTAATAAACTTTTCAGTTTAATGACATAAGATAACTCATGGTGCGGTGTTCAAAAGATGCAAAATTACAATAGTGCTCGTCCTTTGCTCTCCCGTCCTTCTCCTTCCCATTGGGTCCCCCTTCCCCTTACATAACCCCCAAAACAGCTGTGAAAGGAAATCTTTACATCCAAACCTACTCTCTTGAGGCACGCCCTCACCCCGAAGTCAGGGACAGACTTAAAGGTGGGAAAGCTTAACTGTTTTTTAGAATAAAATACACTGTATTTGAGAACAACATCGAGACATTACCCCAAGTGATCGGTTTGTTTAGATCTTAAGTAAATTTCAGTTTGACCTCAGATTTAAGGTCTCTTAGTCCACATAATTGGAATATTTATTGGGATGCCAATTTGGGGGGCACAGTCTTACAGGAATGCCATCTGTAATTTTCTCTTGTAGACCAAAGTGCCACACAAGTTTTCTGTTGGTTTACCTTAACCAACCAGAAAATCCTAGGTGAAGAATTCGTTTCTGATAATGGCAATATGTCTGCAATACAAACCGAACTTTCCCCAAAGAGAACTTATTTTAGGTAGTTAACAGTGTGATTTTACAGCTTGCTACACCCCCTCCCCAAAAAAGGCTTATGAGGCGTTAAACATGCGGTTACTTTAACTCATAGTTGTATGTTCAAAATAGCTGGATATTTCAATTCTATTATAAATGTTCTGGGATAAGTAGAAGTATTAAGGTGGAATGCTTTGCCATCAAGTCCCCAGAGATAGGTAATCACAACTGTCTTTATCCACAAAGAATTATCACAGCTCAGAGATGATGTTTCTCCAAATTCAAACTGGTCACTCCTAGACCTTTTAAAAAAGATCTGGGGGAAGTCCTTAAGATTAGAGTAACTAAAATACCTGTTCTTAGATGGAAATTCACCTCTGTAGAACTAGAAATAAAATAACAGCTAATTTGGGGGGGAAATTTTTCAGATGATCTGAAGTCTAATTTTTTTAAAGGAGGCTCAGTGCAGGCACCTTGTGACTTGACTCAATTCTCTTCAATACTTGTAAAAGGACAAAGCCCAGGTCTAAAGATTCACAGTTTGAGGACTTAGACAAACCAACATGTACATTGCAATAGTGAAAACATACAAAGATGGATTTGTCAGGGGAGGTTCCCTCACAGAGATGACACCTGATAAGGAAACAGTGCTCCAAAGTTTAAAGGAGAGCACAAACAAAACTCCTTGAATTGCCACAGAATTGTTTCCCAGGAGACAGACTCAGGCAAAGTCTGACTCACCATAGTAAGTTGGCAGCTAGAACAAAAATAACTTCCCGAATGATTTTAGGCAGTGGGATTGTGACCAGATAAGCAGTTTAGAAAAATTAATCATTCTAGTTACCAATGGGAGGTGAATTGGTGGGCTGAAACTGGAAGTGGAGAAGTAATTTAGGAGGTACAATAATCCAGAAATGAATAGGCAAAATTACAAAATGATAAATAGGTTAGTGATGCTCATGAGGAAGTTTGTCTTGGGTCTTTCTATACCATTATCCCCTCTACAATGAACATTCCATTCCCAACATCCGGTGTCTGTTCTTTCTGCTTCCAAAGAAAGATCAGAGAACCCTATGTCTTAGAATGTTTTAGTCAAACTCTTCCTTCCAACAGCCATAATACTTCAGTGAAATGAAAGTCTTTGTTTAAAGGAATTTCAAGAATTTAGCAAAAGGGTAGGGGGAATGGAAGACCCCTGGCTTCACATTTATGCCTCTGTAAATTCAGCCCTCTAGGTAAACCAAATTTAGTTCCTTTATGGTGACTAGAATTAGAGTGTCCCAGAGCATGAGTCCAAATCCTGTCCCTCAAGGCTATCCTTCCCCAAGAAGGATAATGTGAGTTTTGGCCCCATTGCAGATACTGAAACCCAAGTCAAAATAGGTTTTGTTGGCTTCACCTTTTCATTCTTTGACACAGTTCAATTCAGAAGTCTTCTTTCTTCCCTGTAAGTCCCCTGCCTAAGCAAAATAATCTCTTCTCCCACCCCTTCCTGCCTCAAGCCTAGTAACCCATGTTTCTATTTTCTAGCAATACTAACCTAATGGCTTATTATTTAGTGACATATATTTGCACCCTTTCAACATTCTAGGATGCAACTCTGTTACATGTACTTCTATGCCAAGTCACAGAATTTCTATAGCGAGATCTGTTCTTTGAATGTATGCATTCCTTTGTCAGTGGAGAATATCACTGTACAAGTGCTATTTAATGATTTCCTTAGTGGGCTACAGTTGGTATGGCATGCTATGTTCACAGATGAAAAATGGTAAGTGAGGCACATACACAAAGCAAGCTACAGGTCATAGACATTTTTTTTTTTTTAACAATCATCATAAATAAAAGTAAGACAGCCTTTCGGGATTGGTAATGGTAAAGTAAAAAGTTGGTATTTTGCACTGATACAGTCTACTTGGTCATAAAATTTGTTCAACATAATGAGTTAGCTTTATTATTTTTTTCTTCTCCTTACCAGGAAACCTGATAGATTAGGCAGTTTTGAGAATTCTTCCATGATGTGT